CTGCCACAAAGGTGGCACCAGGCTCCTGGCTGTGGGTCCTGCTGCTGCTCATGGGTGCTGCGGCCATGCCAGGAACCAGCGCCGGTGAGTGGCAGCGCCTGTAGCTAGGCCAGGGTAGGACACAGCCGGGTCCTGCTGCAGGGAGTGTGGGTGTGGCCGGGCGAGGGGTGCCTCGCTGCCGAGCAGCAGTGACATGACCATTATCCAATGGGGAGCTGCCTCCCAAAAAAACATGTCTACGGCTCCACGTACTACCAGATGCCCCGGCTTTTTCTTTGACTATGGAGCCATGTTGGTGGCTCCTAATTTCCTTGGCCTGAAACACTCAGGCGCAACCACGGCACTCATGGGCGGATCGGTCCAAACCCTGTGCACAGAGCAAGCCCCAGCACAGCGCTGCCCATCCCCTGACCACATGGACAGGCACCCAGCACCTCCCCACTCCCAGCTGCTGGTGGGCATGAAAAGAGGACCTGCTGCCTGTGACAGGGAAGGTGGGTGTGTGCAAGGCAAGGAGAAGCTGCTTGTGCAGCTTGACCCTCATCTGCTCTGCAGGGTCCCTCCAGCCCCAGGCCCCAACTGTGCAGCAGGACCAAGGCCAAAAGGGGCTGATCCCAGGCCCTTGCTGCAGGGCCCTGGCCCTGACTTGGGTGCACAAGGGCTCCCCAGGAGCAGGGTGGGCCAGGTGCTGGGGCTTTTCAGGGCCGTACCTGGGATGGAGGGTGCAGGAAAGCATGACGGATCTGTGGGACATGGTGTGTGGCTCCTCCCAGCCAGGCCTGTGCCCTGCTGGGTCGGTCCCCTTCCTCCTGTCCAGTCCCTGCCCCACACTCAGCTGGCTTTGCCCTGTCCTGTTGGTCCCACCGCTCCCTTGCTCTGCACCCCTGCTCTGGCCTGGTGGAGCCCCATGTCCATCCTCTGCGGCCCCTCTCGGAGGTGGCAGTGAGCAATGGGGGCCCTGGCATCTGCCCGCTAGTGCTGACCATCACTCCCGCAGGCTCCCACAGCTACCAGCATTTCTACATGGGGGTGTCAGACCCCGGCCCAGGCATGCCCGACTTCACTGCCAGGGGCTATGTGGACGACCAGCAAATTCTCCACTATGACAACAAGACACGGAGACAGGAGCCGCGCGGAGACTGGGTGCAGAGAGCCGTCAGACCAGACTTCTGGGACAGGGAAACCAGAAGCTTGCGGGGCTGGCAGCGGGTATTTCAATCAAACCTGGTCACCCTGCGGTATCGCTACAACCAGACCGGTGGTGAGTGTTAGCAGGCAGGTGTGAGCAGGAGGCCGTGGGGGCCCCTGGGATTGAGGGGAACTGAGGAGGGCGTGGAGGGGCACCTGCCCATCAGCAGCTCGGGGTGGGGAGCCGGGAGGACATTGCATTGTCTTGTGTCTGGTCCATGTGTCCCTGCAGCCAGCTCCTCCCTGCCATTGCCTGGGGCAGGGGCAGGGGCAGGGGCATGCGCACCTGCTCAGTCTTCAGCCTGGGGGTCAGGCAGCTGTGGATGGAGCCCTCTCCCTCTCCCACGCGTCCAGTGTAAGTGGGATCTCCTGGCCTGTGCCCAGCACCTGTTACATGGACCCCCCCCCAGGCTGTCTGCTCCCAGCAGCAGGGGCTCAGCCCTTGTCCCCCGAGTTGGAGCCCCTGGGCGGATGCGTGCAGGGAATCCCTGTGTGCCCGATAGTGGTGGGAATGGCTGTTCTCTGTCCTGCCATGGGTCAGCACATAGCTCCACAGCCCTGGGGCTGTGACCCCGACCAGGGCCTGGGTCTGTATGTTTCAGGGTCTCACACACTCCAGCTCATGTACTGCTCCACTTCCAGGTCTTGCTGCCCTGTGGGGAAGCTGCCCAGCACTGCACTGCTCCCGCACGGAGATGCACCTCTCCGCTTTCCAGCCTGGACTCATCCTGACCGATTTCACCTGCCCCTTCCTCCCCTTCCAGGGGCTGTTCCCACCCTCCTCCCCAGCTCTGGGTTCCTGCATTCCCAGGGTGCACGGGGGCTGCAGTCGTGTCCCTTCAGCCTTGTTCTCCAGGACCAGAGCCCCTGAGCTGTCCCGTGCTGCCCCCGCTTCCCTGGGGTCGACTCTGCCCCTGCTCAGCCTGGAAGCCCTCAAGCACCTGCTCCCTGGGGCCGTGACCCTGACCAGGCCCCTGATCTGTGTTTCAGGGTCTCACACTCTCCAGTTCATGTACGGCTGTGAGCTCCGTGAACACAACAGCACTGGAGGCCACATGCTGTTTGGCTATGATGGGGAAGACTTCATCAGCTATGACCTGAGAACACACACCTGGGTAGCAGCCCCGACACAGGCTGAGAGCACCCAGAGCAGGTGGAATAAGGATAAGGCCCTTCTTCAGGATGCAAGATCCTACCTGGAGGAGACCTGCATCAAGTGGCTGCGGCAGTACCTGCAGCACGGGGAGGCAGCGCTGCAGAGCAGTGAGTCCCGGTGTCACCGCCCAGGGCAGCGCTGACCGGGGCACCCCCCCCCCCCCACCCAGGCAATTCCCGCCCCATCCCCCTGTATCCGCGGTGCCCAGTGCTGGTGTGGGACCTGGTGCCCATGTCGCTGCCCTGGTCAGGCCTCCCAGCTGGGCAGAGCCCACGTGGTGTCCCTGCCCTGGCCGCGTGTCTGAGAACCAGAGATCAGCTGTGTCGAACCCTGTTCCTGCAGCCCTGAGCCCAGCGCAGCCGTGTCTCCCGTCCCCCATGCTCCCGCCCCAACGCCGTCTGCTCCTGCCTGAAATGGGCGCTGGAGCCAGGTTGTGTGGCCCGGTGCAGGGCTCAGCCCAGCCCCCTGGCAGGGGTGCTGAGGGTCCCGCAGGGGCGGTCGCTCTTATGGGTGTCTCCTCTCTCCCAGAGCATCCCATGGCACAGGTGAGCGGCAGGCCATCCCGGGACGGACGCACCACCCTGTCCTGCCATGTGCATGGCTTCTACCCCAGAGACGTGGCTGTCGCGTGGCTGAAGAACGGGACAAACCGCTCGGGGGTCCTTCCCAGCGGAGACGGGACCTACCAGACCTGGGCCACCATCGAGATTGACCCGAGCAGCAACCACAGCTACACCTGCAGCGTGCAGCACGAGAGCCTGGGGGCAGCTCTGAGCGTGGCCTGGGACAAGGGCAGTCTGGGTGAGCGACCCCCGCACGGGGAGGGAGAAGAAATGTGGTGCTCGGGGAGGGAGGGGCTGACTGACCCCGCTAAGCAGCAAAGGGATTAGGGGTCGCAGGATGGAGGGGGCACCAATGGGGAGGGGGCACTGGGCCCACGCAGCATTGGGGGCAGGCCAGGGGGGTTCCTCTCGCTCACAGGTCTCTTCCCTCTTCCAGAGTCCAACTGGGTGCTGATTATGGGAATCATTTTTGGTGTCCTGCTGGTCATTGCCATGATGAGCGCAGTTGCTAACTTCTTCTGTAAGTGTCGGGCGAAGCCCTTGGGGTCAGGCCGTGCCCAGGCCTTGGGGCAGGGGAGCAGGGAAGGCTCATCACCACCGTGCCTGGGACCTGGGGGGACGGGGGATTCTCCAGCTGCTCTGGGCTCCCAGGTCCACATGCCCTCAGGGCGGCAGCAGCCAGACCCCAGCGCCAGCGCTGCGAGGCTGCCTTGCTGGGGGCCCCGAGGGCTGCTTTTGGCTCCACATGGACTGTGCTGCACAGCCCCATCCCCTCCCCGGTGGGGGTGTCCTGGTCTGAGCCCATGGCCCACCAAATGACTTGGAAGCATCTGAAGCTCCGGGTGGGGGTGGAGGAGGTTTGTTGGTAGCAGGGCCACCTATGGTTGTTGAATGACTCGCGGATTTGGAATTCATTTGGTTGGTTTGGCTTGAACGCAAAGACATTTCTTTACAAAAAACAAACAAAAAAAACATCTGTAGTCCTTGCTGGCAGGTGCTGGTGTGGGGCATGGGGGGCATTGGGTCGGGTGCACCGGTCCCTGCACTCAGGGATCTCAACCCTCATCTTCCTTCTCTCTCGGCCCCCCAAGCCTTGGAGACCAAAGCCCTGGAGAGAGAAGTGTCGTAGAGCCTGGGCTCTTAACCTTGCGTGTGCGGGGAAGGGGCTGCAACCGGGCACGGCCGGGAGCAGAGCTGGCGCAGTGCAGGGACCCGGCCGTGGGAGGTGTGTTGGGAAGGGGCACCTCCTGCAGTCCTTCCGGCTGCTACATCTCCCACATCTCCATCCCACAGGTTTAAGGGAGCCTGCACCACCTCCAGAGACGCCCATGGAGCAGGAGAGGAAATAGCACAAATCCATGCACTATAGCCCATTCGCACCTTCCAAACATCTTCATTTCAGGGTCACGGGTAGAGGAGGCCAAATGCTCTGCTCTTTGGCCCCGGATGCTGTCTTGGACAATGCAATCCTTTTTTCCCCTTTTTTTCCCCTTTTTTGGGGGGCAGGGAGTGGGGGCAGGTGAAGAGACCTTTTGAGTATAAGAGCTTCTGCTGTGTATGTAAAATGGTGTGTCTGTGTGCTCACTTATAACTCGAGAACGGCTGGTCCTGTCTCCTCCAAATGTCCAAAATCAGAGAATACCTCCTGAGGTGGGTTATTTCTCATTTGACCCTTCTTGCCAGTGACTGGGATTGCTTCACTTCTGTGACAGCAAACTGGTACTGCTGCATTTTGGATGCGGTGAATTCAGTTCGATTCTCATTATATTGAGGCTTGCCTTTGTCTCTAGTGGGTTATGGGATAGAGAAGATCCCACACAACTTACTGATTCATTTGATGCACTGGCTGGGGAAATTTTTAGCTACTTGCATGATTTCACAATGATTACACACTTAATTCATACAACACAATTTTATTTTAAAGTTCTTTGCTACGTATATAACACTGCTTAGCTTTAAGAAACACCACAAACATTAAAAACACAATAATTACATATATCAGAAACAATGCTCCGAATGCACTTCCTTCCAAACAATGCTATAAGAATTAGTGTTACAAAAACAACTACCATTACAACTCAAAGTTAAATTTGAATCAATACTATTATTTTCATGATATACTTACAATCCTAGAATGC